ATAAATATTTTATTTTATAATATAATATTATATTATATTATTTTACATTATATTATATTATATTATATTATATTATATTAATAATACTAATAGAATATAAACAATCAAATTAGATCCCACTTTTAAATAGTGTCGAGAAATATGGTTTTAATACTGGAAAGTTTTGTGATAGTCTTAAATTATATTTTAACCTTTAGTTATAAAATTTAAAGCTTAAAAAATAGTGTAGATCGAGCAAATCTATGAAAATTTGAAAATACTGAAAATTGACGGTCCAAAAATGCGTTCCAAGGTGTACTATTTCCAAACCTTGAAATCCATTTTTTTCTCATGTTCATGCATCTTGATGTCGTGATGATCAATTTAATGATATTTTGGTATCAAAACAACCTTTTCTAGTGAAAGTTTTGAGGTGGGCTCTAATTTGATTGTTTAGAGCTTGGGCTCTATATAAGCTTTCCCTTTATATTATGCATAGTGAATAATGATCAACAAAAACATTATGAAAGATTAGGTTCCTAACCCCCTATCAAGAACTTAATCTTTCATGTTTTAACAAAGGAATGAGAACTTTTGTTGGAAGATTACTTTCTGAACTTTTAGATGGAAACCTGGGAACTTTTCGCAAATCTGAAAGATTTCTTTATGAAAGAATTCTTTCCGAAAAACAAACATGCCCTTAATGTTAAATTGGCGCTTGTCAGGTCAAGAACTATGTAGAATATTCATGTACCTGTGGGATAAGCTTGGATTAAACTAAAAGAAATTAAAATGATTAAAGTTCCCTTGTACTATTCCTTTTCTCTGAAATTCTTATAACCATTTTTTCTGCGAGTACTTGTCATGATGCTTCTTTGAGTTACAGCTGACAAGGTTGATGCTGCACTCCATAAATATATTATCCACAATTTTCCCACTCAATATCCACCTTATTGGAATTCTATGCAGCTGATCTTGAAGTTGTTTGGCATCCTTGTTGTAGCACTCTCACCAGACTTACTCATGGAATGCTTGGCCTTGTTATTTTGCTATGTCCATATGCCTGAATTCTTTTGGAACTTTGTTCTTCAGTTGATAGATGTGCAGTTTAAAATGATTATTATGTAATGCACAAAGGAAACTGTCTTTTTCATGGGTACTTAAGCGAAATTTGATTATATTTGTTATTTTTTGTGTCCCAAGGAATTCTCTCTCATTCATACGCAATTGTAATTTATTAAATTTTCATTCTGGGGATGGTAAATGATGTGGAGTTAAATTTTAACAGGCAGCTCAGAAGGGATTTGAAATTTTATGTAAGATACTTGCCATGCAAGGTTTCCTTACTAGAAGAAAGCCTAACAGTAGTTGTGTTGAGGTCTTTTGCGACGAATGATCCAGATGTTTCACAGCAAAGTCCATTTTATTCTCGCGTGAAGTTTGTTCAACTCAAATCTAATACTCATGATAATGTTTACACTGAGCAATCTGTTATTTCTTGCGGAAGTCACCCCTCTTTTAGTTCTCACGATGACTCTGAGATCCAGAAGCTGTCTGTTGCATCTTCATCAACAGACAATCACCAAAAAGAGGATGTCTTATCTGTAAAGATGGAAAATTTACCTTCTCGAATTCAAATATTGGGTATGTGTTCTGCTTCCATTCTGGACTTCTATGGCATTTCTTCTAATGGATATGGCATTTCTTCTAATGGATGCACATGCCATACTTACTGTATATGATTCTAAATTCCTTGAACTGTCTCCAAAGTGTATCTAGTTGGGGCACATGATATTGATATCAGTCTTTCTATGTTTTATTTTTATTTTTATATTTTTTCTTGTCAGATTCTCTTCCAATAAGTAGCTTGTAAATCATGTAATTTTCTTTGTCTTTTATTTTTGGTAATTTCTGTTTGAATTGTCTTCCTGGAGATTTCATAGTGTAGCTGCTGAGCTGTATATGCCATCCTTGCAGCACTTCATCTCTTAATTCAATGCTGCATAAGGGGGAATCAAAGTAGCTTTCTATGTCATAGTTTTCAAATCAATATTTCTATGAGAAATATGCAACATTATTTATTCCAAAAATGGTGCATAATATTTTCCTTTCTACCTGTAAAATACATAGTTCTTTTATTTGACATGGGAGCACTCTACAAGGCAAAGCAGGAATTCATCTGGATGTCAGAGCTTGCCTTGCAATTATGAGAATGTTAAACGGTGCATGTGTTTCATTCCATTTTATACGTACTATAATAGATAGCTTTTATTTCTCAGGGGATCATTCTACAAGGAAAAATAGGAGTGCATATGAACATCAAAGCTTGCCTAGCAGTTATGAGAATGATCTCCAGAGCAGTTGTTCTGAGAAACCAGTTCTTTGCTCAGGTTGTGGGTTGCGTACTGTTATGTATATCAAGGAGTCAATGAGGTTTAGTTTCTCAGACATTCAAGTTGTGACAAATAATTTTTCAGAAGCAAACATGATTGGGGAAGGTGGATATGGTCGTGTATATAAGGGTACACTTAAAGATGGCCAAATGATTGCAGCAAAACTACATAAGAAAGACACTGCAGAAGGTCATATGGCATTTTCCTCTGAAGTCTTCATCCTTGGATTTGCACGACACAAGAATATTGTGATGCTATTGGGTTATTGTTGTAAGGATGACCACAACATTCTGGTGTATGAGTATATCTGTAACGGATCTTTGGCTTGGCATTTATTTGGTAAGTATTTGACATATTTGCATTAGGCTCTGGGCTACTTGTTCAATGCTTGTGAAGAAAGTAACACAGACATTATTGACATGTACTTTTGTAAATTGTTAAAAAATTTCCTTGATCAGATAAATCTGCTGATGTGTTGGAGTGGCACAAGAGACAAGCCATTGCTGTTGGAATAGCAAGAGGATTGCGTTTTCTACATGAAGAATGTCGTGCTGGTCCAATTATTCACCGGGATTTGCGGCCCAGCAATATACTATTAACTCATGACTTTGTTCCCATGGTATTCTTATCTCGTGTCTATGTTCTTCTAGTCATTTTCCTATTTAGTTTTCTTTTGTTCGTTGTCTCCCTTTCGTATCTATTCATTATAGTTATGCCTGCTCATAAGGTTGACACCATATGTAGCCATTGGTGTTATAATTTATACAAGTGGCAATGTACTTCTAGACAATCATTTATATTATTTTTCACGACACTTATATAACTTGTTTCACTGCAATGTAAATATTTAACACATTCTCCATTCGGAGATATCCTTTTTTCCCCCAATACTTTCATCGTAACTGAGTGAAGCTGGGATTATTCCAGGATTAAGAATTAAATAGAAACTGGGTTTTTAGGAACCAATCTTGAACCTCTAAGTACAATCTCCACCTCTCTCATCCATTCCCTAACCACATCTTTGGTATGAGAGTGTTCTAGAAGAACTATGTTGTTAGTGAGTCTCTGGTAGTAGCCAGCAACTCTTTGGTCATGTTAATCGGACGATGACATATTCATCGTCCACTACGGGATGGCTAGCTAGCTCATGATCTAACTTTCCATGGAGATGAGAAGCAAGCATTTAGTGAGGTTATAACTTAGTTCTATATCAAAAAATGGTCATGACTTAGTTCTAACTTCTAAGAGAGTTCCCCCCAGGAAATATCATGGGCTTAAAGTGCTCTATAATTTACTGGTTTGAGCCATGAACTTCTCGAGAAAACTGGTGTTCAGAGTGGTTTTAGGGAATTGAGGGCCGGCAGTACATGATGTCCATTGTTTGAATCCCAGTTAACCTAGCAAATAGAAAAAAAACCTTCAGTAGTTCAGTAGAATATTCTTGTTTTTTTTTTTGACAAGGTTACATAGGAATGGAACTTGAGACGTTGAGCTATGAAAACCTAGCCTCTACCGTCTTGACCCAAGCCCATTCCCTTCAGTAGAATATTCTTTTGAGCATAAGAACTCTCTCAATTTTGGTTTCACTTGAGGCGGCACCATTAAAACCCTAGAAAGTGCTTGAGGCCTTTTTAGTAGAATTCAATGAACATTTAAATATGCAAATCAAGCATAGAGGAGAAGATCTAGTGTGTTGATGAAATACAAGCTGAAAACCAACAATTTTCTGAGATTGCTTGTTGAGGAGAAGTTCAAGAATGCTTCTCTGATTGCAAAAAGTTCAGTGGCATGGCTCTGATACATATCATTTTGATTCAATAAGGTTTAGAAGCAGTTGTCGATAGTTCTTTCCATAGATTTCAACAAGTGTGTTTGATTCCCAAATACTGGGCATCTGAAAAATCGCACTAAACACCTGAAAGTGTGTTGTTGAATGGCTCGATGACGCATCTTAGAGCGACAGCAGTTTTGCATGTTGCAATTTCTAGAGGTATGATGACATCTGGTTGTGGATGAGACCACTGTTCTGGAGTTTGTTGATCTTCTTCTTCCTCTTTTTCTTTGGTCTGACCATTAGGTTTAGGTTTGCATGTAAATCTGAATTTTTTTGTTATACAACTGACCTGTTCATTCTTGTGATTCTTCTTTCTTTTTTTAGGACAGAGGTAATCATGGATTTCACTTCTTGTTAACCTTTAGTTTTTCTCTCCCTCTGTTTTGTGTTGAGAGAATCTCCTTTGATTTGCATTGGGTGAAAAGATTGTAGGTAGATGTTTTCTCAATAGTGCCCTACATGGTGCTGTATTTCTTTTTCTCATCATTGAATGAAAACCTTAATTAGGTTACAAATGCACGATATGGATGAAATAATGGTTTGCGCTGCCATAATCTCAGAAAAATATCAAATTATTAGCCAAAAGATACTAATTTTTGGTCTTTTACATTTTCAATATTACATTTACAGGAAATGTAAGGAAGATATTGGGGAAACTAATGGATATCCCCTTTTTTGCAGTACTTAAAAAATGTTCCATATTTTTTCAATTTTGTCCTTCTTTTTCAGGTTTTTTCTTTTTCCCAAAATAGCCTTGGAGCCTTGGTTTGGGTCTTGGACTTCCTAGCGAGGTTATCACTAAACTTCTAGTTCCGAACCGATTTTTTTGTTAAACAAACAACGAGGAACTCGAAGTTCCAAACAATTTACTTGTATATATGGTAAAAGTTTATATAAGGTTGTAACCTTAAAATGTAGAATTACAGATGCACCTCAAAAATCCATCAAAAAGGTTGTTTTAATGTTGAAAAATCCTCTAATGGATCATCTCGACATCGAGATGTATGAATATGAAAAAAAAAGGTTTTGAATCCCAGAAGTAGTGCATCTTGCAACACATTATCTCGACTGTCCATTTTCAAGATTTTCATATGTTTATAGATCTACTTGATTTTAACCATTTTTGGAGTTAAAAAATTTCTAATTAGATATGAAAATAGATTTTAAGATAATCCTAAGAATTTTTTACAACAAAATTACATGTTATGATAAAATTTGGAGGTGCGCCTTAATTGGATTGTTTAAGGTTACGACCTTATAGAAACCACACCCATATAATATATATATATATATATATATATATATATATATGTACTAACTAACTAATCGACGTGGCGCTAATATAGAATAAGTAATATAAGGTAGTAATAGGGGTAGT